GTGCTGTAGGAGAGTTCCCCTTTCTCCACATCTCTGCCAACATCTGTCATTTCCTGACTTGTTCATTTTAGCCATTCTGACTGGTGTGAGGTGGTATCTCATTGAGGTTTTGATTTGGATTTCCCTGATGCCAAATGATGTTGAGCACTTTTTCATGAGGCTCTTGGCCATTTGGATGTCTTCTTTGGAAAAATGTCTGTTCATGTCTTCTGCCCATTTCTTGATTGGATCATTTGTTCTTTGGGTGTTGAGTTTGATAAGTTCTTTATAGATTTTCAAACTCTATTACAAAGCTGTAATCATCAAGACAGTATGGTACTGGCACAAAAACAGACACATAGATCAATGGAACAGAATAGAGAGCCCAGAAATGGACCCTCCACTCTACGGTCAACTAATCTTTAACAAAGCAGGAAAGAATGTCCAATGGAAAAAAGACAGTCTCTTCAACAAATGGTGTTGGGAAAATTGGACAGCCACATGCAGAAGAATGAAACTGGACCATTTCCTTACACCACGCACAAAAATAAACTCCAAAGGGTTGAAAGACCTCAATGTGAGACAGGAGTCCACCAAAATCCTAAAGGAGAACACAGGCAGCAACCTCTTTGACCTTAGCCGCAGCAACTTCTTCCTAGAAACCTCGCCAAAGGCAAGGGAAGCAAGGGCAAAAATGGACTATTGGGACTTCATCAAGATAAAAAGCTTTTGCACAGCAAAAGAAACAGTCCACAAAACCAAAAGACAACCGACAGAATGGGAGAAGATATTTGCAAATGACATATCAGGTAAAGGGCTAGTATCAAAGGATTTTTTAAGTGAGCAATCATATTAAAAAGTGTGTGCCCTGAGCACCTAATCTGTATTAATACTCGTTTATTTAACAGAGAATCCACTTGACGGACAAGGTTGTTGACTGCAGTCCCTTCAAGTATGGGTGTTGAAGTTTTCCCCTTTAACCCCACTCTTTGGTCTTATAATTGTCCCTGGAGCACTGCAGGGAGGCATGCATAAGGGACATCCAGATGATGAGAGAGTTATCTTCCATATTGCACATGGTGGTGGCTTGTTGTGGCCAGAGATGTTCCTGCCCAGGTGATGTGTGCACACAGGCAGGTGCAGTCCTGTTGGGTTCGCCATCAAGGATACTAAGTAGTGTTGGGGCACTTATAATAAGTGAGCCCTTTTGTGGACACCCACGGTCATATATTTATCAGATTTTCCCCTCTGGGATCACTTTTCCAGCTCTGGTCTCCTGGGATTTTTCTCTATTGCCTGCCTCCTTCAAACTTTCTCAGGTTGCTATCTTTCCATCTCTTTTAACCCTCTACATCCTACCTTCTCTTAATCTCTTATACACTCTTTTGCTCTCACAGTAGGCCAATCAGGAAGTTTTCAACTCAAATCGTTAACTAACTGAAACTGTCAGCCACAGAATAAATGGAGAATAAATGGTTCCTTTTCACCCTGGGTCAGTTTGGAAATAAACACAATGCTACCTCACTATTTTCCTATTTTGTGAGAAGGGGGAGTATTTTCATCCCATCCTGGAGAAGGTGGCCTTCTTCAACAGAATGTATCTAACGATGTCCTGTACTATATCATAGACAAGCATGACCTTGGAGTTTTCATGTCAGAAAATAGAACTTTCATATCCTCCTGCATTTACTATGATTTAGTGGCCACAACAGGACAAAAAACAGACAAAAAAATCTTCTGCAGAATAAAATAACTCTTGTGTATTTTTCTGCCTCCCTTTTCTACAGCAAAGTGTTTGAGTCAGCTTATTCTTTAGCTTCAGTCTTATATGAAGAAAAAGACAATTAAGGATATTCTTTCAATATTAGGTGAATAATTTCTGGAAGCAATAAGTTTCCCACAGGGAAATACCACTTGTGTCTTCAGATGTCTGAAACAAACATTGTAAAATAATGTAAGATAGAAAATGGCTCTTTGTCCTGACTTGGAGGTTCATAAATCAAAGAGTGGTACCTGAAATCTTTTTCACAGTTTTATTCAGATATAATTCACATACCATAAAGTTCAATGGCTCTTACTATATTCACAGAATTGTGCAACCATCACTACAATCAATTTTAGAATATTTCATCACCCCAAAAAGAAAATTCTTACTCATTAGAGTCACCTCTCATTTCTTCCTTTTTCTAAACCCTAGGCAACTACTAATCTTTCTATCTTTTTATATTTGCCTATTTTGTACATTTTATATAAATGGAATCATACAATATATGCTATGACTGTCATATTTCACTTTGAATACTGTTTTAAAGTTTTATCCATGTAGTATATACTAGTACTTCCTTCTTTTTATTGCTGAAAAATATATTATTGTATGGATATATGGATATACCATGTATTGTTTTTTCATTCATCAGTTTACAAACATTGGGTCGTTTCTAATTTTTGGCTAGTGTGGATAATGCTCCTTTGTACAAGTTTTAGTGTGGACACATATTTTTACTTATGTTAGATATATACCTGGGAGTTGAATTGATAGATCATATGGAATCTCTGTGTTTAATCTTTTGGAGAACTGATAGATTGTTTTACAAAGTGTCTGCACCATTTTATAGAACCACCACCAGTGCAGGAAGTTCACATTTCTCTACCTCCTCACCAACGGTTGTTACTATTTGTCTTTTTGATTAGTGTGTGTGGACTGATTATGTCATTGTGGTTTTTATTTACATTACCTAATAGCTAATGATGCTGAGTGTCTTTTGATGTATTTATTTGCAATTTATATATCTTCTTTGGAGAAATGTCCATTCAGATCCTTTGCCCATTTTAAAATTAAGTTGTCTTTTGTTGTTGAGTTGTAGGAGTTCTTTATATATTATAGATATAAATTCTTTAGCAGATATGTAATTTGCAAATATTTTCTTCCATTCTCTGGGTTAGCTTTTTATTTTATTTTTTTACTTTTATGTACTTATCGGAGGTGTCCTTTGAAGTACAAATGTTCTTATTTTTATAGAGTCTATTTACTTATTTTTTCTTTTGTCACTTATGATTTTGGTGTCATCTCTATGAAGATGTTGACTAACCCAAGGTCATGCAGATTTATTCCTGTATTTCTTCTAAGAGTTTTATAGTTTTAGCTCTTACTTACTTAGGTATTTGATGCATTTTTAAAAATTTATTATATTTTTAAAATTTTAACTCCGATATAATTAACATACAGTGTTATATTAGTTTCAGGTGTACAATATAGTGATTCAAGAATTATATACATTTTTCAGTGCTCTTTGATGCATTTTTTAGTGAATTTTTGTGTATGCTATTAAGTAGAGATCTAGCTCTATGCTTTTTCATCTGGAGATATTAGATTTCCCAGTGCCATTTTTTTGAAAAGACTCTTCTTGCACTGTTGAATTGTCTTGGAACCTTTGTCAAAAACTAATTGGCCATAATTGTTAAGGTCTATTTCTGGACTCTTGGTTCTATTCTGTTGATCTATATATCTACTCTTATGCCAGTACCACTTTGTCTTTATCACTGTAGACTTCTAGTAAGTTTTGAAATTGGGAAGTATATGGCCCCAACATTTTTTCCCCCAAAATTCCTTTGACCATTCTGGGTCTCTTGCATTTCCATATGAATTTTAGGATCAAATGGTCAGTTTCTGAAAAAAGAAAGTCAGCTGAGATTTGATAGGGATTATGTTGAATCTGTAGATCCATATGGGGAATACTGATATCTTAACAATATTAAGTCCTTGGATTCATGAAAACCGATGTCTTCCTATTTATTTAAGTCTTCTTTAATGTCTTTCAGCAGTGTTTTGTAGTTTCAGAACATAGGTCTTGCAGTTCTTTTGTTAAGTTTATTCCTAAGTATTTTCTTATTTTTGATGCTGTATAGGTGGAATTGTTTCCTTAATTTCATTTTGGGGTTTCTAGTGCATAGATGTATAATTTATTTATTTTATTTAATGAGAGAGAGAGCAGAGGAAGGAGCGGGGAGGGGAGAGGGACAAGCAGACTCCTCTCTGAGCAGGGAGAGCCAGACGCTGGGCTCAATCTCAGGATCTTGAGATCATGACCTAAGCCGAAACCAAGAGTCAGGCACCCAACTAATTGAGCCATCCAGGCACCCCCAATGTATATTTGATTTTTGATCTTTATATATTGATCTATCCCTTGCACCTTGCAGGATGTTTTTATTAGTTTTAATAGATTTTTAATAGATTTCTGAGGAGTCTCTTTATATCAAGTCATGTCATTTGCAAATGAAGATAGTTTTACTTCTTCCTTTCCAATCTGGATGCCTTTTATTTCATTGTCTTTTCTGATTGCCCTGTCTATAACTTCCAGTACCATGTTGAATAGAATAGAAGTGGTGAGAATAGATATTCTTACCTTGGTCCTGATGTTTAGGGGAAATAATTTTTCACCATTAAATATGATGCTGATTGTGGGTTTTCCATAGATGTCCTTTACTGAGTTGTAGGAATGTTCTCCAGTCCTAGCCACCAATGTTTTTTTGTTTTTGTTTTTTTATCATGAAGGGGTGTAGGATTTTTTCAAAAGCTTTTTCTGCATTTATTGAGATGATTATATGTATTTTGTCCAATATTCTATTGGTACAGTTTATTTTTTCAGATGTGAAAACAACTTGCATTCTTTGTATAAATCTCATTTGGTCACTTTATATAATCCTTTTTATGTTTCTGGACTTAGTTTGCTTATATGTTATTGAAGACTGCTTAAAGTTTAATATGAAAAAAATAGGAAGAAAAGTATTCACCTTTTAATATTTTTTCATCTTTTTGTCAGGAAGGAAGATAAATGAGTGTGAGCGTGCATAGATAACAGACACACACACACACACACACACATACACATACACACACTGTTAGCAAAACATTCTTGATGTTTTTCTTCAGTTTGATGAAAATAATAATTTTTCCTTTCCTGTTTAATGGTCTTAGCTCCATTATAGAGTATCTTTGTGATATTATCACTTTCTTCTCCCAGAGCATAGTGATGTGGGGTAAGTGAGCAGAATTGGTTCCAGAAGCCAGAAATTGACAGAAGAATGCAAATGCTGAACTCATGCCCAAGCAACCTTTCAAAAAAGGTATGTAGTAAAAGTGTATGGGTAGGTATCTTAAATGATTCCTACTTCCTTAGGGCTTTGCAATTTTTAAGGCTTAGTTCCTTTTGGATTCAGTGATGCAGGAACATGGGAAAGAGCAGAAGAAGGAAGAGCATTGTAAAGTAGCAGCAGTGCTGAGAATAGATGGCTGGTTTTGTGTTGGATCAGTTTCCCACTGTTTATGTCTTAGACTTCTTGGTGTTGCAGCAGGGGAATCAGCAACTCCCTTCGGTGCCACAGAATGAAACATTAGCTGCATTCATAATTTTAGTAAAAGCCTGGCATAATAAATCATTTCTGTCCTTTGATAGAGTTACATGATCAAACTGTTTCCTCTCCATCACGTAAAATTGCCTTTATACCCTTCAAAACCAAGCCTGGAGTCCCAAATTCCCTGGATGCTCTCCTCTTCAGGAACTGTAGGTAAGGTTCATGTGTTTTGATTAACTCTATCTTATTTAATCCTTCATAATGTGATGAGCTATATTATGAGATATCATTATCCCAATTTTATAAATGATGAAACTGAAGCTTAGGAGGCATTTTGCATGGAATCATCCACCTAATAAGGCAGAACCTGACCCTGCCTGGTTCTAATACTGTTAGAAAGTACTGTTCTAATACTCTGCTCTTGGGGTCAGATATTTGAATCTCTTGTGCCTGGGAAGCTGATAACCTGAATGAGCCAGACAAATCCATTTTATTATGGAGAACTGAGAGGATTGGGATGATTTGTCTTTTCAAACCAAGGCACATTTCATCTTGAACCCGTCAATCAGAGAGGAGAAGATGGAACTTACATCTCTTCTTGATAATATCCAACATGTAAATAGTCTCTTCTTTCTTGGATGGCACTTGCCCATCCTCCAGTGGAATTTGTTTACCCTCTCCTTTTGGTCCATCATGTGTCATGGCTGGGGGAGAAGAAACAATTCTCATCTGAGCTCTCACAAAATCCGGTACTGAGGGCTTGAACTTCCAGTTGATGTATGAACACTGAAGATGATTTCCTATAATTTGGTTTGGGGTGGATACAACCTGAGAACACATTCAAGTTTAATGTTTGTCCTACCACCTTACTTTCACTACACTGTGAGGAACTGCTTATTCACAGTTTATTGTCACAGAATCTAAAACCTTACCATAGAGAAGTGTCTTTCTGGCACACGTTCTGAGTTGGCTATTGGCTGCTGTGCTTATATTTGCAGTGACTTGGGTTTGCCCTTCCGGCATCTCACCTGACGTAAAAAATGGCCAAAATAAAGCCACAAAATATGCTTCTAGGACCGCTTGGGATAGGCATTAAAAAAACTCTGGTGTGGTAATGCTTTGCTCTTTAAAACTTAAGTGAGGTTAGGAATGACTGTAAAGAAGTTCCCACAGTGTGATGGAGGTCACATTGGACCTGAAGCCAGGAACTGCAAGATGTAGAGTATCACAGCCAGACTTGATTCTGAGAAATGACAAAATGTAGTGGTAACTCAGGGAGAGAGGGCCATGATCCTTTGGAGCAGAAGACCGAAGCTGATTGTAGGACTTGCCTCCAAAGCAGGGTACCTGGAAGTTCAAATAATACTTTAAAATACCCAGTGAATTTTCATGGAAATGGACACTCATGTATTACTGACATAAGTACCAATTTGTACTTTCCTGGAGCATAATTTGGCAGTATTAATCAGGAGTTTCTTATTTTTCACTGCCTTTTCATTGGCTTATTCATATCTCATTTTATTGGCTAAAATATTATTTCTAATAGCTGCATTATATTCTATTCTTTGGATGTACCATAATTTTTTAAAATCACATATCCTGTTAGGTTGTTTCCAGTTTTCTACTACTGTAAATAAGCCTGTTAGTAAGAAAGAGTAAAACAAAGTTTGTCATTTTGATAAAATATATACATACATATAAAAAGAATAAAATTTAAAAAAACATGATTAATCTCTGACAGGTGACTTAGGTGTCCTTTTAATTTTTTGCACTAATTTTTTTAACTTCTCAATTTTCCAAAAATGAACACGTAATATTTGCAAATAATTTTTTAAATTGTTAAAATGTATTTTGTCTCAGCATCTTTCAAGCATGTAATACAATATTATTATCTATAACCACAGTGCTGTACAATATATTCCCAGAACTTATTCATTTTCTAACAGCATGTTTGTACCCTTTTACCAACCTCTCTATTTTTCCCACCCGCAAGTCCTTGGCAACCAATTTTCTACTCTGTTTGTATGAGTTTGACTTTTTTTCCCTAAAGATTCTACATATAAGTAATGCTATGCTGTGTTTGTCTTACTCCGTGTAGCTTACTTAAGTTAGTATAATACCCTTCAGGCCCATTCATATTGTCACAAATGGCAAGACTTCCTTCTTTCTCATGGCTAAATGGTATTCCACAGTACATATAGACCACATCTTCTTTATCCATTCATCCATTGATAGACACTTAGATTGTTTTCATATCTTGGCTGTTGTGAATAATGTTGCAATAACATGGGATGCAGATATCTTTTATGTTTCTTGTTTTCATTCCCTTTGGGATATACTCAGAGGTTGGATTGCTGGACCATAAAGTAGTTCTATTTTTAATTTTTTGAGGAACCTCCATACTGTTTTCCATAGTGGCGGGACCAATTTACATTCTCACCAATAGCGCACAAGGGTTCCCTTTTCTTTTCTTTTTTAAAGATTTATTTATTTATTTATTTATTTATTTATTTATTTATTTGACAGAGAGAGAGACAGCGAGAGAGGGAACATGAGCAGGGGGAGTGGGAGAGGGAAAGCAGGCCTCCTGCTGAGCAGGGAGCCCAATGTGGGGCTCGAACCCCAGACCCTGGGATCATGACCTGAGCTGAAGGCAGACACCTAACGACTGAGCCACCCAGGTGCTCCAGGGGTTCCCTTTTCTCCACATCCTTGCCAACACTTGTTATTTCTTGTCTTTTTTAGATCTTAAATGTTCTCACCATAAAGAAGAAATGGTAATTACGTGATGTGATGGAGGTGTTAGCTGATACTATAGTGGTAATCAGATTGCAGTATGTAAGTGTAGCAAATCAACATGATGTACAACTTAAACTTACACAATATGTCAATTATATCTCAATAAAAAATTTTAAAAATATTAAATTAAAAAATGCATCTTGTCATATAGAAAAGAAGAAAGCTACTGAAGCCTTCTAGGGTTATATCAAAAGAACTCAGGAATCAACTTGAGGAGACTCCCATGGGCTAAATCTAAGATAGTTTGAACATTAATAAGTATCACAGAAATAGACTGTACAAATCAAATATATTTAAATCCATGAATTCATAATGATACTATAAATGAAAACCTCATTCACCACCTTTGGAGGATTTTAGAAAATCAAATTATTCTTTTCAAAACTCGTAAATTAGAGAAAAGAATTAAGCATTTATCCTCATTTTTCTTTAGGGACCATACATGAGAGTTACCAAATAGTTACTGAATACTGATTTTTATTTATCAAAACACTCTAGCTAATAAAGGAAGACATTGTAGAATTAAGATACTACAATTTTATAATCTGAGATGAAAGAATAGATGTGGCAGTGATCATCAGTGCTGCTAACATTACAAAAAAGAAGACAGCCTATAGTATTTATTTTCTGATAGAAACACGTGGTCTATATTTTTGACAAAATATCAACTGATTCTGGTTGAATCCCTAGATCCAGTTACCAATTTGGAAAGAAAATACAGGGGAAGAGGAACATGTTAAATGACACCCCTTTGATTTATTCAGACAATGGAAATCTCTAGAGTACCTATAATTTAGCTTCTTCATAAAGGAAATAAAAGGGGGGGGAACTGTAGGTTAAGAGTGACTTGAGCTGGTTAACTTTAACAGCAATAGCACCAGCCCTTTGCAGACAGAAGTAACCTGACAGGGATATAAAATATGCTGCCTTTGATATTAAGAAAGGTCCTATTGTTCTTCTGTCAATAGAACCTGCCCTTTGAATTGTATTTCCAGCTGAAGCAGTAATCCAGGGATCTCAACCACAGTTGCTCATTAGAGTCAGAATGTCTGCAGTTGGAATGTGGGTGTTAAAATAAAAATGGCTAGGACCTCTATTATTAAGATGAATAGAAGTAGTAAGAGCAGATATCCTCACCTTGTTCCTGAATTACAGAATTTGCAGGTTCTCTTCAGATTAATCAAACCAAACCAAGTGGATTTCATCATACTTTGTAAGCAGAATTTAAGCCAAAATTTAGTACAAGCTATTGACATATTACCAAATTTTATTCATTTATGGAGAGAGAGAGAGTACAGAGGGAGAAACAGACTTCCCGCTGAGCAGGGAGCCTAATGCGGGGCTTGATCCTAGGACCCTGAGATCATGACCTGAGTGGAAGGCAGACGCTTAACCAACTGAGCCACCGAGAGAGAGAGAGAGAGAGAGAGAGAGAGAGAGAGAGAGCGCTCAGGGCCCTGGGATCATGACCTGAGCTGAAGGCAGACACTTAACCGACTGAGCCACCCAGGCACCCCTGCATTTATTTTTTACTGAAGAAACCAGGTGGTATAACCTTAGGAAATTTTAATCTGAATTTTGCTGATTACATTCCCATGTCTATTAACATGTTTCTGTCTTTTATCTACTCTTTCCCTTATGAATTGGGAAGTAGACTTAGACGTTTGATCAAAATCAGGTATAAAGTTTCAGCAAAACCACTTCATAGATAGTGTTTCATACTTATATCTAGAAGTAAATAATCTGTCTCTGTGATGTTAGAGCAAATGATGAGTATTGCCAGCATCTTTCACTTCATTAGGGGTTACAAAGAGATGATAGTCTAATAATCCTTTTTAGCTGTGATGCTTCTGCAAAGAGGAAACTTTCTCATGAACAATTGAGTTATCATGGTGAACAGTTTTTATATAAAAGAGAAAAGGTACTAGATTAATTACTTTTATTTACCATTTTTCAAAATACTCGTTGGTTCACTTACACCCTTCAAAGGTGACAGGATTTTTGTTATGGTTGTTTTTATCATTAAAAACTTGGAAGGTTTAAATATTTTTGATTTGTTAAAAAGGTTCCATTTATTTTTATTTCAGTTAAGTTTTTATTCCAGAGTTCTTGTTTAATTTTATTGTGATCAGATCAGGTGACATTATTGTGTTTGTGATTTAAGAATAGTACATTGTATGAGGAGAATGAGAAATGAACAATAGAAGATAGTAAAATAAAATATATATGGTAAGCAAGAAGCTTCTGAAACATGTTAGATCCAGATAAAGTAAATAGATCATTTGTGTGCTGACACAGAGAGGAGGAGATAGAATGAACAAGTATTACATATTCAAGAAGCATCAAATTTTATGACAGTTATATCACCTTTAAATCAAGAACCCATTTGTGTCACCCATGTGGCCCTA